TTCCCAAATAATAAAGAAATCTGTGGAGACCTATATCCTGAAGAAGGGGGCTTGGCTTTTGGCCGAAATGTATTGATGGCTGACACAATAGGAAATTAGAGGAATTACATCATCTATTAAGATATATAGGATGTATTTTCATGAAGCCTTTAGGGAAACTCAAAACTTGTGAGCTGACATTTTGCTCGTCATATAAAAGGACAAATATAAGGTGTGACTAAAAAGTTCAAGCAATTAAAAAATAAAGTAAAGTAGACACTCTAATCAGCTGTCAAGTTACCAGTGTTTCCCATGTCTCACCAGACATTCCATATTTCTTTTGAAATCACTTAAGAAAAAAAAAATCTTTTTTTTTTTTCTCAAATATTTTTTCTTTGAAAAAGTCATTTTGCATTTTTCAGTTCCTCAAACTTTTCTGTAGCATCTTATACATGATAAAACTGAATTAACAAGAGTCATAAGTGATTTTGTTAATATTTCAAAGTTTTCAAAAAAAAAATAAAAAAATAAAAAAAATAAAGATCATACCTGGCTCTCATTACTGAAAATTTTTTTTTTTTAGGAATTCTCTTTTCTTTGTTGTAAGACTATTTGTTGCACAGAGATTTTTAGGATTAGATATAATCTTTCTAAAGAAAAAAAAATTACATGGGAACCAATGGCATCATCATTATCATCACAACATTTGTCATTATGCATGCCAACCTTCTTCAGGTATGGATTTGGTAGCCTAGCAATTGTGAGTTCAATCCATGAACCAAATAGTACAGACTGATACAGTGGAACGAGGACCTAGCCACCCCCCACCCCATAGTTTAAATAAAGTGTCCAGTTCAAAGTTCCCTGAAGGTTACCAGGTTCAGCAGACACCTGAAGAAGGAAAGAGAAAACAATGGCTGAAACATAATAACAAGAAAGATGAGGACATTAGTCTGAATGTAAATAAAAGATACCTCATCATCCCAGAAATTCAGACAAAAAGTAGAAAATTAGTTCTTCAGTTCATTCACTGCCATCTATTCAGAGTGTAAGAAATAATAACAATTGGGTGTGATTTTGTTGTTCTCCTTTTGTTTTGTTGTTGATAACAGGATTTCATATTGTAAAAAAAAAGGTAAAGCTGAAGGGTTAAATTTATCCACCTCCAAAATTCACCAAAAAAAAAAAAAAAAAAAAAAAAAAGATATATGAAAAAAAAAAAAAAATATCAAAATTTTTGTTATTAAGATGAAAGATCAAAACATCAGGTTGTCAATAGATCTGTTTACACTTCATAAAAACACCCACTCCAGGTGAAAAAATGCTTTTCTGCGATATTTTAAGCCAAAAGTAATATTTGATTTAAATTGGATTAAGTAAACTTTTAAATCAGCTAATTTTTATCAAATATTTCAGGAAGGTATATTTAATTTTGAAAGATTTTTCTTAATAAAGAGAATTATGTTGTGTCAACAGATTTCTCAATATGGACGATTTTTATAGATATTTACTGATAATCAGAAAAAAAACCCCACAAACTTGGAGGAATCTAGTCAAGTTACTGGAGAATGCACACCACAGGATTTAGAGTGAAAAGCACAAAGGTGATAAAAGCATAAATGTTATTTAAAATGAAATAAAATTGCAAGATTGCTAAAAGGCATTTTAAAAAATTGACAACTTTTGTACATATGGATGGAATTACAGTAATGATATTAGGATATAAAAGAATTAGTTAATTAATTGCAATGTAAAGGATATTTTGAAAATTTGCCAATGGGATTGTATAATAATATTCTGAATCATTAACCTGAACCCAGCTTGGGGTGAAATGATTAAAAAAAAAAAAAAAAAAAAAATAAAATAAACATTGGGAGGAAAAAAGGTAACCATATTTTTCTTATATTATTTATGGAAGCTTCTAAATTAGAAAAATGTTAATTTGTGGTTTTGGCAAAGAACAGTGGACTGGTTTTTGAGATATTAGAGGTTCATTGCTAAGACTAAGTATATTTGCAAAGTTATTAAAATAACTTCCCCCATTCTAAAACATTGCATTTTAAATTAAATATCAACTAAAAAGGTCAACAAGAGAGATCTTAACATCAGAAATATTATTTACGAAAGCATTAAATTCGCCTTATTTTCATTTTTAAATATGCAATTTTAACTCGAATGTATAAACCACTATTTATCATTCATTCAACTATTCGTAATAAAAATATTTTATTTATTGATTCATTTTCTATGGCTTATCAGCTCTTAGCAGGTTAGATTGTAAGAATTTATTTTTGATATAATAATGATTAGGTGATACGACTCTTACTAATTAACCCATACCTAAGAGGAGAAGAGGTGGATTCATACTTTTGTCAAAGATATTTGTGCCTAAGCAAATATAACAAGCCCAGTTGGAATTGGAACTCAGTTCTCCAATTTCCAATTCCCAGTTGTTATCCATTACACCACCCACACATTCAAGCTTACTGGACCTGGTATTCCCAAATAGTCACTCATTTATGTACAGACCAGGCCTGATGTTGCTTAATTTTGGTGATCATACGGGAACTGTTGTTTCAATGTGGTATGGCCATAAGCCCGTTTTTATTTTTATCATTTTAAATAAAGGATTATATATACACAAAAGGAATATTTTATGAAACAATACACTCAATGCATTAGTCATTCATTGTAATAGGTTTGACTATAGTTTCAACTTAAAGAATGCAATTTTAATTAAGGTTGCAAGCAATTTTTATTAAGGTGAAAATGTATTGAAAGTGCACTAATTTCAGAATCTTCTACTGTAAATCATACAGTAAATCATCTTTCCTATCAAGGCTACTTAACAATTCTCAGCCATTATCCATTACATCAAATGTTTTATTCTGACCAGGCTCAATATTGCTTAACTTTGGTGATCATCTGTGAACCAGTGTTTCAACATGTTGTGGCCATAAACACAATAAAAGCAATACAATTGTTATAATAATAAAACAAATGCCCCATTTCGTCATTTATTGGCCTGCTCTATAACACCAAATATTTGAAGTATTTCCCTAAGCCTCGATACTTTTCTAAGATCCAATCAATTCATCTGAATAAACAGAGATGAATTTATTCTTAAATAGCTTTGTCAGATCCAGTCTCTCTTGTGGATGTCATGCATGGCAGCTAACTCGTTCAGAAATGTCTAAACTATCAGCTGTATACAATAGTTTTCTCAATGATTAAAAAACAGCTTCAGACAAATGAACACTGTGGATCTTGAAGAGGACTGTCCTTTGTCGAATCTTGTAGACCAGCGCTACAGAATCACAAAGAACTTTACCAAATAGCAGAAACCATATCACTTGAAGACTAAAATGGGTAGCACATGTGGGTCAAAGAGAAAATAATGATATAATCAAAATGATTTTTCATACTACTTTAAAAAAAAAAAAAAAAATGATAATGAAGGACATGTCCCAATCAAAACTGGGAACAGCAATAATAATGGGCTTGATAAAATTATCTTTCTGAAAAATTGTTTTACTAAAAAGATGTTATAAATTTCAAATTACTAAAATGCTGTCTGGTCACTACACTATTTACATTATTTGGACTATTGTCCTCATCTTTGTCGCCATATTTATTACATTTCGGCCGTTGTACACTCCAACCTTCAGGTGGTGGTTGGAATGTCGAACTGAACACTCACACTCACTCCTGTCACTGGATCCAGTGACAGAACCCAAAGAGTGTGAGTTCAATACTTGGTTAAGGCAGTGGAGAACTTTGAGAGGGGAATTAACAGGAGATAACTGACATCCATTAAACATGGCACATGGAACTAGAACAGTCTACCCCAGTGAGCGAAATAAAGGGTTCAGTTCAACATTCCAACCACCTGAAGAAGGCCAGAGCGTACAACGGCAGAAACATTGTAATAAATATGGCAACAAAGATGAGGACAATAGTCCGAATAATGTAAATATTGTACATAATACCTCATCTCAGAAATATAAACAGATACTGTTTGGTCAATGAATGCCAAATATTTCCTTATAAAGGAAATGGCTATGTCACCATTACTATTACTATATTCTTGAAAACAAAAAAGAAAAAAGTAATATTAATGAAAAATTTATGTACTTATTGGGGGGGGGACTAAAGTCAATATAATTATAGAATATTACATTTTTATTATTATTAATAATACTAAAATAGAAATTTAAAAATCACCTTTCAAACAGTAAGACTTACCCAGCAGTAATGAACCTTGTATCTCAAACTACAGCCCAATGCTCTAACTAACATGCTAATATTTGGCTCCTACCATGTGTTCATTTCTATAATTTGGACATTATTGCATGACTTTTTGGCTTCAAGGCTGAATTGACTGCCACAAAAGGGTGCTCATTGGAGTGTAATCTTTGATGTTTTTACACGAGGTTGGCTTCAGGAAATTGTTGCGGACAGGTCCGTGTGTTCTCTTGTGACTCTCCAAGTCATCTAGTGTGGCACAAAACTTTGGGCACATATCACACTGTACTGCAGGCATAGACTGCGCGTGTGTTGTCTTGTGTATCTGCAGTTCATCCTGCTCATCAAACTGTAGCCTGCAAACCTCACACTCAAAAGGTCGATCAACAGCATTATGTGCATGCTTTTGGTGTGACTGAAGCTGAACCTTGCGCATGAACTGCTCAGGGCAGAGATCACAGTGGAATGGCTTCTCTCCAGTATGGCTGCGTATGTGGATTTGAAGCTTGTCCTTTCGGGCAAACTGCTTCAAACACAGCTCACACTCAAAAGGCTTCTCCCCTGTATGGATACGGCGGTGGATCTTCAAGTAGCAACGCTGCACAAACTGCTTAGGGCAAAGGTCACACTGGAACGGTTTTTCTCCAGTGTGGGTCCTCCTGTGGATTTGTAGTCGATCACTACGTGCAAACTGTTTGGAGCAGACTTCACATTGGAAAGGTTTCTCGCCTGTATGCGTCCGTTCATGAATCAGTAGCTTGTCCTTCTGTACAAACTGCTTTGGGCAAAAAGTACAGTGGAAGGGTTTTTCTCCTGTGTGTGAACTTCGGTGGATTTTCAGCTTGTCCTTACGAGAGAACTGTTTGGGGCAGAACTCACAATGAAATGGTTTTTCTCCCGTGTGAATTCGTTCATGAATCTGCAGCTTATCACGGTGGACAAACTGTTTGCCGCAGAAGTTGCAATGGAACAATTTCTCCCCAGTATGCAGCCGCTGGTGTAGCTGCAAAGTGTTTCGCCGGGCAAACTGTTTAGCGCAGAAGTTGCACTGGAATGCCTTCTCAACTCCACCGGAAGATTTTTGAATGTTGGGAAGCAAAGGTTTGTTCAGTTGGGCTATATCTGGCTTCTTGTCGACCACTTCCTCAGTGGCTTGTTTCTCAGTAGGTTTCTCTTGCGATGGAAAATAGCTTTGGGAGGCAATCTGCTTTCCATAGATGTCTGAATGGAAGAGTTTCTCATTGGGATGCAGCAGACCTTGTGTCTGAAGGTAATAGCTCTGAGCATATTGATTAATGTATGCCAGTTGGCTATGGAACGATTTCTCATCAACCTCGGAAATTCCATGTGCTGGAATATTGTTAATACTCCCACTGCTGCTGGTGCTTAGGGGCAGCATAGGAAACTGAATTCTTCCAGGGACAGAAGATGGGGTTTCATTTGAAAATTTATCCATATTTCTTCTTTTTTTTTTTTTTCCCCTCTTGTTTACAGTTTCACTTTCAAATTCTTATCTACAATTTTTTTTTCCTTGGAAGAAAAAGGTCATTAATGTTTTCTTCTTTTGGAGCAAATTAGCCAAGAAAACACATTTAAAGTTGAAAAAAATACTGGGAATCAGTCCTGCATGTGTAAAAATGCCCACTCATTGCAATACCTGAAAAAATAAAAATAAAAAAAAAGAATATGATAAAAAAAATAACCTGAAATAAATTTAGTGCATTTATATGTCACAAAATTTCCAGCATACTTTTACTCCAGACAAAACTACAAGCAAAGATTTAAATTTCATATCACTGCCTTAATCATTTAATTCATATATAATTTACATTTAATAACAGTTTAATATTATGGTCTGGCAAAAAATGGACAATCCAGCATGGTTTTAATTTCAAGAGTGCTGGAAAATCAGTTGTGCACCTATAATTCAAAATAATGAGAGCAAGTGAAACAAAGAATTAAATTTGAAATTGAATGTCTTTCTACCTCTCTCCTATATATAATTGGGAAGTTTACTATACACAGCTCTTTTCTGTTATATAAAATTTTCTTACATTGTAATGATTACCATTTGTAACCATCAGGTGTAAAGCTGTAATTATTTGTTTTTTAATATCTGACCAAGAAAAATATTTGCAGGTTTTGAAAAAGCAGCTTCAAAGAACAAATATATTTTCTGCTTTTCATAGTAGTTCATTAGAAACTTGCTAAGAACAAAAAGGAATCTATTTGTCTTTCTTTATGATACTAAATGCTCATGACAATGAAAGTTGATATGAATAAATAATGACAATAAAAAATCTTTTATTAACACTTTCACTGCTGCACTGTTATAACATTATTGCCTGGCTGTGCTGGCCCATTTTGGGGAAAATAGGAAATTATCATTTTCTGAAAACAAATGACAATAAAGACACTAATGGCAATTTCTCAAGGGTGCCACTATTTTGGTTTTGTTTCAATCAGTTGCTTTACAGTACAGACTAAGCTAAATGACACCCTTAACATATAAAAACAAAAATTTTGCTACATGTTACTACAGGTCTATACTAGTTTGGAAATAGCATGAAGTACTAGTAAGTTTATATTATGGACTGATATTTCATGGTATCATGAAAACAAATATATGTCTACAGCAGCAGAAGTTTTAACAAGAAAGATTGTAAAATATAAATTTCTTAGTTATGCATATCATTTGTCTCCCCTTGGTATCAGAAGTTATAAGGGATTTTTTTTCAGGATATATATATATATATATATATATATATATATATATATATTTATATAATATTCCATGGTTAAAATTTATTATATTGGAATTTATTATATTGGAATTCATGATTCTTCATCAGACCCACAAATTCAAAAAAGAAAACTTTTCTTTTTGAATTTGTAGGTCTGATGAATTGGATCATGATTACGATTCCAATATAAATTATAACCGTGGAATATTAACGTTTGAGCCTTTTATATTATATTCTTGCTCTGTCCTGGACATTGAGCTCTACCTGGATTCTATCCTTTTGGAAATTATATATATATATGTACAAGTATAGGAATGTTGTATAGGGAATAAATTCCAATAACCAAAAAATACTATTCTTAAAAGTGTGCTCAATACAGAGTAGAGTAAATATAAGGTTCTACATCTGACACCATCACTTGATAAGACACCAGAAGTATTGAAACAAAATGGCTATATTTGTAGTGATTTTATAACATATTTATATTATAATTTTTGAATAATTATATATATATATATATATATATCACTTTAAATGTTATTTTTAGTGGAAGCTCATATTTGAGAAGGCACTCCTTTTATTTATTAAACAGTTGAAAGTATGAAATTGCCTTCACCTGTGTTTCTTCATGGCCAAGTAGTAAGATGTGCCAGGCTCAACAGTGGTTGCCTCTACCATAAGGGACACAGGTTAGATTCTTGACAAAGGGTGCAAATATTTCTTTAATAAGATTTTTGAAAACATTCAGGCTGGTAGGTGAAAATAAATATTGTTTAATAAATAAATGGCTACTCAAATATGAGTATCCACTAAAAATAATACTTGAATTGCTAAAAATATGCCAGCTTAATAAAAATCCAGTACATACATACAATTTTAGGATATTAAAACAAAAACGTTAAAAACTGCTATACGATTACAATCATGTATTATTTGTTCTCATTTTACCTGGACAAAAAATTTTATACTACAGAATTTATATAGTTTTAAAAATGATGGAGCACATTTTTTTTTTCTTTAAAAAGGAACCTTTTTGCACCCAACACTTCCTTAGAAAGAGTCATTGGGAAAAAAAATAATAAAAAAAATCATGAACAGCAAAATCCCACGCACACTTTCTTTTTCAGTTTCTCCTGTCTATGATTAATTTTTTTTTTTTCTTTGTATGTTTGGGTATTTTTTTTTTCCAATGAATCTTTCTGAAGTGTTGGACAAAAAAGGTTCCTTTCAAAGAAAAAAATGTACTTTGTCATTTTTAAAGATATATATATATATATATATATATATATATATATATATATATATATATACACACACACACAAAGGCAGGATGTGTGTGTGTGTGTGTGTGTGTGTGTGTGTAATGAATGCATGGCTGCAATTATTGACGGATTTGCACCAAAATTTACATGCACATGCTCCAAGTTAGCAGAAAGGCCAAGACCAACATTGCATTTCCCAACTCCCATCGATAGTGAAAATAATAGATTTTTTTCATGCTTCTACGGCAATTTTCATGTAGTTTGCGGCCATTTTGTACTGCCCAGAGTGAGAGCCTATAGCTGGCTGCCACGAATAGGCAGGAAGATTCTATTGGTCAGCGTGAGAGCCAACAGCTGACTGACACGAATGTTAACTAGCATGCAAAAAAAAAAAAAAAAAAAAAATCGATAGCTGCATTGGGAAAAATTTAAATCTGCATGGCACTTTACTCCAATTGGCTCATTCGCTTGCTTAAACTCAACATTGATTCTGATTCCGCAGAACTGGGTTGGGTGTGAAAAAGTATTTGTTGTTAACATTCTTTTTTTATTCGGTTTTACGAGTCCTTTTTTAAAAGCTGATCGTTTTGTGTTCATTTTGTTTAGTTCTTTTTTCGTAACAGATTTAATGTTTAGTATAGAGCTTATAAAAAAATTCGTAGTGTGAGATAGGCAAGAAGTAAGGCATGCAGCAACATCAGCATGTAAAGGTGAATTTTGACAGCAAGAATTATTTCAAACATGTTTGATTGAATAACATGGACAAGAAGTTCTGTCTATCTAATTTTTCTTATTAACTTTTCCAAATTAGTTGCTTTATAAAATTGGTAAATTTGCCAAAGTTCATATTTATGTAGATTTTTATTTTATTCCAACTTGCCCCCAGTACTTCTGAAAATGTTGTTACTTTCATTTTCAAGAATAGTGTTTTGTGTATATTTATCTGTCTCTGGTTAATTAACCAAAAGCAGTTACAAAAAATAATAAGAATAAAATATAAAAAATATGAACTTTGGTAAATTTACTGATTATATAAAACAATTCTAAAATTTGAAAAAGTTAATAAATAACTGAATAGACAAAACTTCTCTTTATATATATATATATATATATATATATATATATATATATATATATATATATATATATATATAGAGAGAGAGAGAGAGAGAGAGGTGTATTTTACTAGTAAGAATTCTCTAAAATATGCTTTGTTAAATAATAGGAACAAATTCTGTCTGTCAAATTTTTTCATAAGTCTTTCAAATTTCGAAATAAGTAGTTTTGTTTTTATTGGTAAATTTGCCAAAATTCATATTAACTTTTATTTTTTTTTTATTATTTTCTCCCCCACAACAACTTTGGGGGGGGGGGAGAAGTAGAAGAAGAAAACAACACACACATAAAAATTTTAATATGATGTCACCATGAGTGATTTGAAATTGATTGCATCAAACTTAAGAACACTGGAACTAAAAACAATTGAGTAACTACACACAGGACAATCCTTGAAAACAAATGGCGCAACATTTGAAAGTAGTTAGGGAAAAAAAAATAATATGCTGTATATACTCGCATATAATGCAACTTTTGAAGATCTAATTTTGAAGTTGATTTCAAGAGGGTTACATCATACACAACATGTAAAATTAGCATATATACTGCTGGCCCTAGTTACGCAGTTTACCAAACTATATATCCATTTATTATAGTTAAAAAATATAGCTGTATTTATAATAAATATCGTACATTACACAAGTACATGCGGTATAAGTTTAGCATAACTTATTGAGGAATCATTTCATTGGTATCACAACCACTTGCAACCTAAGGCTTGACGTCTCACTTAGCACAGACAGGTACTTCAACTAGTAAGTTATAATTGATAATTATCATGTTATATGCTTCAGACTTTAAAACCTCAGAAGAATCCAGGATCTCCCAAACAATGCCCATCACACTCATTTATTTGTTGTTTTTTCATTACTATTATTATTATTATTCAGTTACTATTAAGTGCTTTTATTCATTCCTTCTTCCTAAATTTATAGACAAATCCTACAGTTGTATGCTGGCATTTCTTCCTAACCAATAAAAAATAGACCACTTCTCTGTCTCATCCACTATATTTTTGTTCTTACTTGTCGTGAAGTCAGAACCTATAACCACTTGACTGCAACTCTTTTTGCATGTAAACGCAATTCTTACTTTGTGAACTTTTTGCCTTATTATTGATTTGACTACTTTTGACTTCTATATATAAAGTTTGCTTAGCATTATTCTGCCTTGTTCTTTTTTTCTTTTCTTATTGTTTATTGGAAACTTTGCCAATTCTGTTTGTTGAGCATTTTTGCCAAGTACATTTAACCATGACCCAAAATGTCCTTTGTTGA